AGTCGGAAGATCAACGGATGGCTTCAGTGGCCGGTTACACTTCATTGCTTTGTCACCGAGCAAGAGATTGTTGACGGTGCTGGCTTGGAGAACATGCTGAGACAACAGCCGCGGGCCTTTCGCTTGACTTCTGGTGCCCCTTGCCTTCTGACTTTCTGGCATGCTATAGCTGTGGCCTTGAAGGAAGGCAAGGCAGAGAGAGTGCTTTTGCTATGCCAGGCAGCCCTATCTGCAACAATGCAAGTGCGAAAGGTCAAGGACCACAAGGTTGCTGCCAAACTAGCAATTGATCATTCCGCAAAGTACAAAGCGGATGCCATTGCTATGGGGGGAGGACTACTTGAACTGGCTGCTCCGGTGGAGAGTGGCCATGGGAGACGTGAAGTCCACCGTGCCCAAGGATGTGTTGTCGCACGCCAAGCTGATAGGCCTTTGCTTGGATGGGAAGGAGCTGTCGCTGAATGCCGTGACTGCCACGTACCCCGGACTGCGCAGTGGCAGTTTTCAGTTTCCATTTTTGTTGGAGACTGTGTTTCTTATAAGAGACTGTTTTCTCCCCTTTCTTCACCCGAGGCTGAAGATCTCCGGAGCTTTGGGCGCCGAAGAGATGCAGCGGCTCAACAAGATTTGCCGAACCTTTGGCCGTGGGCTTCTTACAACGCACTTTACCAAGCTACAAAGGATCGTCTACGGTGCTCAGAGGCACGTTGCTGCTTGCAACATGCTAGAGAGTGGCTGTTGCTCACCGCTGTCTTGGGTCTTTGAAAGCATATACATTGCTTTGGATCGCAAGCAAGTGAGCGAGAGTTTCTTCACAGCACCAAATTTGGCCGCAGAGGGCAAGAACTCCAAACCTGGCTTCGCCGATTTGTCGCTGTGCAAAATGGTGGTTATGAGGTGGATCTCCACCTTTGTTTCCCCACTTCAGAGCACTGAGTTGACAGAGGCCTGGGGGCACTTAGCTTTTTTATTGCACCCTTCTTTTTGACGTGAGACCTGGGAGGTGCTTCGATCCTTTGAGCGGCCAATGACATTCCACAAGACCTTCCCCAATGATGCTGATGGCACAGAGGAAGGAGAGGAGTCAGCTCTGGACCGCTTCGTGAAGGGGAAAACCAAGCTTGCCACCTCGCTTGCGCATCTCATGCATGCTGTTTTTGATGGCGAATATGATGAAGACCTTCTCGCCTTGCTTTCACAGGAGAAGATCCACCAAGTCCTAAATTCCCCCGAGGAGACTCTTGACTATGATGCATTTTTTGCCTTTCTTCCTTCGCCCACTCTGTTTTTGGGTTTTGCGAGGCAACGTGCTTTGAAACAACACTGCATACCCAGGTATGATGACTTGAAGAAGAGACCCTTTTTGAAGCAGCTGATGGATTTCTGCCACTCCACGGAGAGCAATGCGACTGTGGTGTCTGCTGCTGATGAAGGAACTGGCGCCAGCAGTTTGCGGCAGTTGGTACGAAGAATCAGTGCTGGAGGCGACGACGAGGATGGTTCTGCAGCAGCTCGGCGAGAAGCGGAGCGACAACAGGCATGGAAGCAAGCCAGTGCCAGCAGGAAGCGCCATGTGCAGTTTGTGGTTTGGAAGGATGCGACTCAAGCGCAGAGCCAGGTTAATGGAAATGCGGTGCTCCGGAACTTCAAAGCAGAGCCCGGCGAATCTCACAGACTTTTCATTTTGTGTGCAGACTTGTTGGGTGAAGCAGATGCAAAGCCTTGGCTACAGATCCTGGACAAGCAGCCCAGCCAATTCAAGGCAGATGCCAGGCCAGGCTCTCTAGCCAAAATTGAACCGGTTGTGGTTTTGCTTGTCAGTCATCTAGCTGCAAATTGCCCATGAGGTTGGATTTCCTGGCAAAGCAGAGCGGTCCAGGAGACGTGCTGGTGGTCTTTGATGGCCGGAGCAAGCAGTGCAGGTCATGGCTGAACAGCAAGATCTCAGGCGTTGAAGTCTGGGTTCTCTTTGATGGCAAGCAGAAGTTCCGCTTTCGTACCAGGATGGTTGCATTTGGCAGCAGGTCTGTTGAGATGGGCATGATACACTTTGCGTTCAATCGCTCCAAAGTGCCCATCAACGAGCGCAAGCAGTTCAGCGCATCCAGCGAGAGGCGTGGTTGTAGATTTTAAGCAAGTTTCATGTGCAACATGGCTGCCAAGCAAGAGTGCACCCTTGAGGACCTCCTTTGGCTCTGTCTATTCTGGTGTGGGCTACCCCTGTTCCCTGCCACTCATTAGTGTAGAGGACAAGAAGAAGATCATGGGATCAGCAGATGTTCCACCGAAGTGGGGCAAGAAAGGGGTACCTCTTGTATGGCAAGAGACAAAGAGTGCTGCCTTTTTCTCCCAGCTCCTGGCAGATTTGCGGGCTCTTTGGCAGTGATGACATGTTTTTGTATGTTTTTGTCGTCGCGTTTCAAGGCCCAACCTACAGCAGTGACATCCAAAAACATTTCACACCGTTTCACTGGCTAGGCTCGTTGCGTGATTGACTTGTCACCGGGCACAGCCGAGCTGGCCAAAGCAGTTCTAAGTGCTCCTGACCACGTTTCCTATCTTGGCTTTGCGTATGACTCCTCACATTTGAACCTGCTCACCAACATCATAGACACGCACGCCCTGAAGCTGGTGACCAAAGAGGGGTCCTTGCTTTTCCAGCAAGATCTCGCCACAATGGTGAGGGATCTGTACTCAGACGTAGTTGCGGAGAAGGCCGAGGATGAAGAACAGACATGTTCTGAGCCCGACACGCCTTGATTTGCTCTGTGGATGGGTCTTGCTTTCAATTGCCGGCTTTGGCAGAGAGCTCGGTGAGAAACCTTGTTCCGTGCTCCATGCCATGCCCCTTTTTTGACATGTCACAGCATGACTATACAAAAGAAAACGGGCCGGGCCAATCTTTGTCGCGCAGGCACCGGATTCGGTTCGTCTAGGGTGGTATGTTTAAAACTATATTGAACTTTTGATTTGGAGTGGCAGAAAAACCATGCGATGTGACCTGATTGCTAGTGCTTTTCACTTGGTGAGACTGCTGCCAAGTGTTTTCTGGGGCAGGATCATGTCAGCAGGATGGGCGAGCCCCTGCAGAGGTTTCATGTTCTGGAGCTTGGCAAAAGTTTTCCAACATATGTTTTTGACAACTGCTCCTGGGCCTGTTGCTTCTAGTGCAAAATCTAGTAGAGTAGAGGGCTGGCGGTGTGGTTTTAACTTCCGCCCCATTCCTGATCAAGCAAGACAATGTTCCGTAGTAGTTTTTGCATTGGACTTGAAAGCCACTTGCGCGCAGGTGACTGGTCTTCGCGCTGGTCTCAGTCTTCATTTGGCTTCTTCCCGCTCAGCAGGCGCCTGTCCACCGGGTAGATAGACCTCGGCGCATGTCCAAGCCTATCGGAAAGCCACTGGGTTTCCGACAGCCTTCAACACCTAGGCCACTAGGCAGCCAAGCCAGTCTCTAGGAAGTGCTCCATGATTCTATTCTCTCTGTAAAATGACTTCTAAATTTAGAAGCAATTTGCCAACGCCTTTGACAGGATGGGCCTGGCTCCAGCCAGGGGCCGAGCCGGTTAGAGCACTCACGCCCTTGCCTTTGTGTAAGCAACCTCTACCGATTAGCTTGCTTTCTCTACTGGTTGGCTTTTCGGACGTGCCAGGTATTGTAGCACAATGTGTTCAGTAGAACTTTGGACTGCCCCTACTCAGATCTGATTCAATTTGAGCCCTTTCGAGGAAGGTATTTGTATAGCTTCTTAGCTGAGCCCTGGGCTGTAGGCCAAGCGAGGTTCGCTTCGGATGTTGGTCAGCCAGGGCCACAGATTCTGAGCAACTAGGTGGGTCATGCTCACTAGCTTGTGTTTTAGGAAGCAGATAAGACTAGACTCAATTGAGGGTTGTTTTTTTGCAGATGATGGAATTGCTCGTGCTGACGCTGGCTGTCGTCCTTCAATCCATGATATTGCTGCAGTGTACCTGAGTCCTGCATGTTGCATTCCACTAGGGCCATTTGGCTGGGAGAGGCATTTGCGCATGCTGCAGGTCAGGTACCCGCATTGAATTTTTGCGTTCGATGAGGTCTGAAAACAAGAAGCGCAGCAGTGAACAGCAAACCGCAAACCTGTTTTTTGAGATTGGTTTCTAGCAGCCATGCCGGCATTGCCTTTGGAAGCTCTTTTCGCACAAGGGGGCCAAAAGAGCATAGCAAGGTGCCTCCAGGTAAAATTGCGGGGGCTCGTAGTTCGCAAGCGTGCGATTTTTCCCTGAAGTGTGCATCTCGTGCCGACGGCCCACGGGACGAACGTTGTCACACTGTTTGATCGAATGAAATTTTCATCTTTTTGCCCTGTCTGAGGGAGCGCTTACGTGGAAGCCGGTCATGCAAGCAGATTGGCTCCAAAAAGAGACACTTTGAAAGTGACAGGGCGTCATCAGCTCGCAAAAAGCCTAAATTGGGAGCGTCCCCAGCTGCGGGCCGGCCAGAGAAGCAACAGAACCTGCGGCAGGCCAGCGCTGCAAGAAGACCATCTTCGTCCAGATTAGACTTGCCAGCCATCTTGCAAATGACAGCAGCAGAGCACCGCCAACATCACCAAGTGCCCGCAGATGGTTGTCCACGCTGCAGGTGGTCTAGGTTCAAGAGCAAATGGGAGAGAACGTCCTTTGACCTGGGAACTTAGAAGTCTTTTTCTCGCTCGCACGCTGTTTTTTCCATACTTGCCAAGTCATGGCAACAGTCAGTTTTGAGGATTGGTGCAGACACCTATGAATCCGGCAGCGGAAAGAGACAAGTGATTTGGCTGACTGAACGGCAGCCGTTGGGGAGAGGCTTTTCGTGGGGATTGGGCTGCTCTTTGTGCGCTGCTCTGACGCAGCCAGTGTCGGGTCCAAAGCGCCGAGAGCGAAAGTGGAGCACTGTTTGGTCCAGATTTGAAGTGCAATCCGTCCATTGACACTTGTCCGAAGCCTCGGGCGATACGGCTTTTCGCATATTGCTCCAGGTGTTCTACTGTTACAGCCCTAGGCAGTAGCTATTGTTACAGGCGACTGATTGTTGTGCGGCCTATTAACTATTTAGCTTTGCGTGCGTGCCAGTTTCCTTTACTTGGCACTGAGCTGAGGCATGAACACCTGGGCAGTCAGACAGCATGCGGCGCAGAGCATTCACAAGAAAGCGCTCAAATTGCATATTGCGCCAGAAATTTCGTCCCTGGCTCTTGCAGATGACATTGGCCAAGAACAGCTCTTGCGTGGTTCAGCACGGGCCATAGACACATGCCATAGACACATGTTTAGCATGCATTCATCTCATCAGCATTTGCACACAGTGGTGCATGTTGCCCTAGCAGTCGAGGTTCCCCAGCCCCGTGACTGGCTGCTTGTGTGCCGGGCTATTTGGTCTCCAGTTTCATTTAGAAGGGCTGCGCTTTTCCATGCAACTGCGGAATATTGTCGCAGGTCAGCTGACAGATGCAAGGATCCGGAGCCCAGGGCGCTAGCGTCCATGATGCGCTGCATGGCTTCAGTTGAGCGCTCGCGCATCCAGAGGCTTTTGCGAAAGGCCTCAGCCATAAATGTCCTCATGGATGATCGTAAGGGCTGGACATTGATCAGAGCCCGCGTCAGCTATGTCAATGAAACATCTGGCACCATTGACAGTTCTTTGCTATTTGTCGCTGCTGTTCGCAGAGGTGGCATGGTGGATAAAGACTTGATGGATTTTGATGAAGATCACGGTGCTCGCATA